CCGAAGAAGTTTAGTAAAAACAAAACTTTTGTTGCGTGTTTTCACTTGTCTTCAGTCCCTTAATAAAAATTCCAGTTCTTAATCTAATTACCTAGAAGATGAGACACTTGATGTAGAGGATCTCGTCGGAGGCTTCAAACTCGGCGGCTTCCTACTTGATGTAGGTATTGAATACTGTACATTAGAGGACCGACTGTACGCAGATGACGGGAAAAAAGTGACTGCAGTTTTCTCAGAAACCGATTGATATGACGATGCTGACACTGTAGTGGACCTTGAAGTAGAAATGCTGAAAGATGATATATACCATATTTAAAAACTTTGCTAACCTGAATTGCTACTAACAGCAATTTGAAGGATCGCAAGCACCTCTCATCCTACTCAAACTTTCATAAACTAACCTTGTGCTGGTAGAGGTGGGAATGGATGCACTTGTTGTAGTTGATATCGACGCACTCGAACTCAAGCTTGTACTAATTGAGATTGAAGTTGAAACACTGAAAATAATAAACAACAGGAATATAGTTACACAAGGGCTCATCACGCTCAATATCGAAGAGCCTTGCACTTCAACCTAAAAGAATCCCTGCAGTCCCTCATAAATATCTAGTTATCGCCAAAAATTGAGTTAAATGTAGAAGAAAAACGCTTCCCAGCGCTTAGAAAGGAAAAAAAAAGGATTTGTTAGCCCACCAACGCTGTAAATACTACTTTCTCTTTCTATTCAATGTAACAGCTCTACTAAGACCTATGGCCTAGTTAGAGAGAAAGATGAGTCATGCACGAACATAAAATGTAAGTACTGCTTCTCTCCATATTACATTTATTGAAACACGAGTTCTTATTTGTGTGTGGGGAACTTAATCAAGCGGGCTCAAAGATGGTGATCTTTTTTTTTAGGCACATAATGCACTATTTCTGAGACAAACACGTTCACCTTCTCAAACTGATGCAAAGAAACCGTTATTCACAAGATATCAAGAATTGTGAGCAAACCTTGCATTTAAATTAGCGCAACATGAGCTCAAGCTCTTATGGCCACGATTGTACGAAACAAATTTTAATATTTGAGAGATCTATCTCGTTGTAAAATTACCATTTACGAACAAATCTCATGATTACTTTATTGCTAAATAATAGTAATAATAATACGCTGTATTTTAAGAGTGTAGCACGGAATAGTTACGGAAACTAGTAAACTCATGGCCCTCTATCTAAAAAATTGCAATTACGACAACATATTCCGAATATACAAAATCAAAGTACAAAATAAATAAAACTAAGCAAATACAGAAGTTCTGCATTCATATAAATAAGTATAAAAGCTAATGATATGGCTAAGGAAATATATACAAAATACGACTAAACTATGAAATGGTGTAGTTCTTGCTTCTCTTTGAAGAAGGATACCAATGATAATGCATTTCTAAGATCAAGGCTTAAGCCATTCCAAAGTTGACAAGTAGCAGCTGCGAATGTCTTACCGACTTCGGTCAGCCGATTAGATTTTGGGCAAATAAAGTTTATATTACTACATCTAGTTACACAACTTTGTTGCTGACTGTTGATTCCTAAGTAGTCTTCAATATATAAGGGAACTCTTCCCTTAATACGTTTGTATGTAACACAACATTTAGCTATTTTCCCTTCTTCATAAAAAGGAAGCTACTGCAGACTATTAAAAAACGTAATACGAGACGCCTAGTAATATGCATCGGAAATCACCCTCACTCCTCTAATTTTGTAGCTGAAAAACACAAAGATAATTTCCAGAGACAAGGATATTATGCTGTTTTTGCACAGTTTTCTTTTGAAAGACACACCAAAGCACGACCTTTTCTACATTTGTTACACAATGAGTTTAAAAAAATGTCCCCCTAGAATTTATTCGTACTATATCACATTCAATACTTCACCAAAATCTCTAACAAGTTTCTATAAAATTATCCAAGAGGAAGAAAAAAACACATTTTATCCCTTTAAAATAACACACCACATACGACATTTACAAAAAGATACCTGGTGGATGCTGAGGTCGATGTCAACGTGCTACTGCTCAGTGATCTCGACACACTGGTGGATACTGATGTTGATGTACTCGTACTGACACTTGAAAAAGTGGTAGACAATGACGTAGATGGTGTACTCACACTAGTTGATGTTGATGTAGACACGCTGGTGGACACTGATATTGAAATACTTGTGCTGGCACTTGACAATGTAGTCGAAATTGACGTTTTTGGTGTGCTTACACTTGTTGAAGTTGGTATAGACACACTAGTGGACACTGATGTTGATGTGCTTGTACTCGCACTTGACAAGGTCTTAGACACCGATGTTGTTGGTGTACTCACACTAGTTGACGTTGATGTAGATACACTGGTGGATACTGATGTTGAAGTACTTGTGCTCGCACTTGAGTATGTCGAGAAAACTGTCGTAGTTGGTGTACTAACACTTGCTGATCTTGATGTTGAGGTGCTTGTGCTAAGAGACGTTGAAGCACTAGTTGATGTTGAAGAAGAGGTTGAAGTTGATTTCGACCCACTGGTTGATGCTGAAGTGGACACACTGGAAGATATTGACGTTGAAGTACTTATGCTGGCACTTGAATATGTCGTGGACACTGACGTTGTTGGTGTGCTCACACTTGTCGATGTTGATGTGGACACGCTGGTAGATACTGATGTTGAGGTACTTGTGCTGGCACTCGAAAATGTCGTCGACACTGACGTTGTTGGTGTGCTCACACTTGTCAATGTTAACGTGGACACGCTGGTAGATACTGATGTTGAGGTACTTGTGCTGGCACTTGACAATGTCGTGGACACTGACGTTGGCGTACTCACACTAGTTGAGGTGGATGTAGACACGCTAGT